TTTTCTTCGGTAGTGAATAAGACCTGTAAGAGCTGTTGGCAATCATCCCAAGTGGGCTGATGGGTAAAGAAAATAGACTCTAAAAGGGAGGTTAGTCCTTGTGGTTTCTCTGAAAAGGATGGCGTTTGCAATTTCCAATTATATAAATCACTAGTACTGAATGGCGAGTAGATGACAGTAGGCTCACCTCCACCTCCTGGAATCACCTTCAATGGGGCTTGAACAGATACTGGCTCTTTCAGGGAGGTTGAATCAGGGGAAGGTGGCCTACGACCCCTAGACCGGGTTACAGGAGGTCCCGGTCCCTCCGGAGGAGGACGTCTACCCCCATTTCCATTATAGGGTGGCGGATACCAGTCATCCTCCGAGGGAGGTCCCTGCAACACCGGTGGGGGCTTCTTAAAACCCTGGGGTATGGCTGCCATTACAGTAACGGGTGCATGACTGCAATTCTGTAAGTATTTAGGGGCATCAGAAACAACATCAATCCAAACATCAACATAAGGAATTTGGTCAGGATGCCCAGGGTTTCTATAAATCACACCTCGAACCCGGAATGCAGTTTGCATGTTAAATGATCCCTCGGAGGGCCATCCTACTCCGAAGGTCGGCCAATCTAATTGACAAAAGCGCTGCAAATCAAAAGGGGTTACTGAAGCACCATAGGCCCTTGCCCTACGACGAAAATCTTTAAAGTTGTTAAGCATGCACTGTAACGGAGTTAGTTTGCCCTGTGATTGTCCCATAGTTCCACAATAAAGCACACGAAGCAAAACAAAACAAGACAGACACAGACTAACAAACCAGAACAGGACTGAGAAAACTGTCGTCACAGTCTCAGTCGACCGCCGACTTACTTGTCGCGTCCGACGTCCGCACGGTCCCTGGGCCCCCTACCAGAAACTGCCTCAGCACTCCCAGGATCGTGCTCCGCAAAGCGAGAAACCACAGGCGGCGCCTAGGGCAAGTGCCCTAGAGGCCTCCCCAACCGCAAATGGTCCAACGCCCTGGTGCACTGATCAATTTTCCCACAACGAGAAGATCTCGCTGGGGCCTCCAAATGTTGTGTCCAGAATAACCAGACCCAACTTGAGTGTTCTTAACCAGGAGACAGTTTATTAGCCGGCGGCTGTCCTTGCAAAGGAGCAGCCTCGAATTGCCAAGATACAAGGTTTTTAAGCCCCAAATCCCATTCCTCATTCTGTCTTAAACACAAAGGTCCATCTTTCTCCTATTCATTACCTGTCAACCCACTGGTCAGGTGTGCAAGCGGGGAGTACAGAAGCAGAAAGCTTGTTGTTAGAATGTTATGTTTCTATGGGTGATTGCCTGTTTTCCCATGGGCTATAGCCAGTGTTCCCATGGGCGATGGCCAAACAGTAATTTTTAGCTTATATACAATTGATTATTTTTTATGCCACGCAAGCAAGCAGGGTTACACAGGCTAAAATTGACAGTTAGTGTGAGTTCACTGGCAAGCAGGGTTACACAGGCTAAAATTGACAGTTAGTGTATGAGTTCACTGTTATAAGTTTCATGATTAACAAAATGTGGTTAGGGGTTCCAGAAACTAGGCCTAAGTTATAGACTTCCTTTGTCCACTTTCAGGTTTTAATTATTCTTTAACCCTTTTACATTTCAACAAGCTATTACACAACCAGTTTTACAGCAAATAACAGCGTCACAGAGCAAACATTTCTAAGAAATAAGAGCAAACATTTCTAAGAAATAAGAGCAAACTGATGAGCTGTGTCAAATTGTGAGAAACCAGTCGTTAATAATACAGCAGTTTAATAGGTCCAAGATGAAGGCTGTAAACTGTTGGTAAATAAATAAGGTCCCTCTGAAAGCTGTTCCGAGAATCAGAGACACAAACTGGACCTGTTCAGAGCCACCCAGCACCGCCCTCCTCTGCCTCCCCGCTCACGGGAACACTTCCTCCCACGGAAGATGACGGAAGATGACACGCTGCTCACAAAGAGAAGCCGCTTTAGACTTGTGATTTTATTAGTCGAGTCCATCTGTGGTGGGTCTGTAACCCTTCCAGCCAGGCCCGACACCCACATGTGAAAAAGTGCCTGTATGGGGTGGGGACAGCCTGGGTATGGTCTCTCTTGGTCTCTCTTGGCTTTGTGGCAGGAGAACAGCAGAGAGAAGCCTTTTTGCCCTCTCCCTCCCCAGACTCCTCCATCACCTACAGCCCTCCACCCCCACCTCTGGGAGCCTATTAGAAGCCGAGGAGGCCACTGTCCAAGCTGAGCTAGTCACTCGGGCAGCTGGGAATGAGGCGGGGACTTTGTGCGAGCCCCTCAGAGCATGAAGGGCTGGCTGAGTGCCAAGGGCACGTCAGACTGAGGTAAAGCCTGGCTGGCACGGCACCCTCCCTGCCCCTGCCCTTCCCACGCCTTCGGTCAGGAGGCTAACAAGGCTCTTCAAAATGGGTGGCCTGACTCCACGTCCCCATTAGGGAGGTGACACCGTGCTGTCTCTGCCGGGTGGGCAGGTGGATGCTTGTGGCATTCTTTGAGACGACTCCTGCCTCAGAACAGGCCCAGGCGAAAAGATCCCCAAACCGTCTGCCTGCCATGGAGGGGAGGGGTCGACAGAGCCCACTCAGACCCCCAGGTCTGAGCTGAACATCTGTGGGGCTGGAGGACCAAAGCCATGACTGACAGTGTCTTGGGGCTGAGATGCCCTCAGCATCGTGTCACCCCAGAGGCCAATGAGGCACGGGGTGCCTGCATACCTCAGCCACAGCGGGCACACACGGAAGGATGCGCTTGCTCCCTGTCCACAGGAAGAGCTGTAATCAGCTCCTGGGATTCACAGAGCCTTTCCTGGGCACCCCTCCTCGGGGCTGGCAGCCAGCAGGGCGGTGGGACAGAGTGCAGGGTCTGAGGCCTCCGCAGAGGAGACAGCGGGACCCTTCAGGCCGAATGTGATGTCACATTATAGGAAGCATTCTTCAGGGTCTCCAGGAAGAACTGTTCATTCTCCAAGAAGTCTCGGTCCTGAAAAGCAGGGCTGGGTGAGCCATCACCCTCCGGCTCCCTCCTGTGCCTAAGACACTGGCTCAAAGGACTGAGTGTGAGGTGGACCCCTGGGTGCTGGCCAAGCCAGCCCTCGCTTGGGGTCTCTCCCCACTTACTCCCTGGCTTTGCCCTGCTCTGGGAAGCAGCAGGGGGCACGGAAGGAGCACAGGCACTGGGGTGGGACCAGGTCTCAGTCCTGCTGAGGCCACTCATTAGCATATGACTCCATCTCTCTACGCCTATCTATAAATTGGAGATAATGACATTACCTTCTTTGTAGGGCTGGGTCAACGTAAAGGCTTACAATGTACATAGTTTTTAGCACAGAGCCTGACACACTGGAAATGCTCTGTAAGTGATAACAGCTGTCATCATCACAGGGTTACTGTGAGGTTCAACTAAGGCGATGTACGCAAAATCGCTTCATATGGAACCTGGCCTGCGGGTCTCAGAGAGACGCTCACTAACTCACTAAGCCGTCTGCACCACTGCTCTCCTCTGGGGGGCGGCTCAGATCTCCTTGGGGCCAGCATGTGCTCATCCCTGCCTCTGCCCTGAGCTGCTGGCCACCACGAGGACCCGTAGGTCCAGGGGCAGTGGAGGGCCCGCTCTCCACCCAGGATGCTCACCTGCTCAGCTGTGTGTTTCAGCAGCACCAGCTTGGCGTGGAGATGCGAGGGGCCCAGGCTGGCTGGCGGCTGGCTGCACCGAGGGTCAGCAAGAGCAGGAGCCACGATGGCTGCAAAGGCCGAGGGGCAAGTCAGGGACCGAAGTGTCGGAGGGAGGACAAAATGGCCACAGCCTGTCTCCCCGGGGCCTTCTCACCGCTGTGGGTGGGTGCAACCGGGACCAACCTTCTGGGCGCATCCACCCAGTGGCCAAAGTCCCATCCTTCTGGAGCCACTTACCACTTAGGCCAGAGGTTGCCAGGCCCTGGGCCCTGGTGAGTAGCCCCACGGGACCAGAGGACAGGTCCTGTCGGACGCGGTCCAACTGCAGTCTCTGCTGGGCCAGACTCAGATGCTCCTGTGCCCCGTCCCCAGAGAGGGCACGCTGTGAGGGTGGGAGACTGGGGTAGGGGCAGGGGTGGCTGGGGGAGCCGGGGAGGGATGGGGCCCTGCCTGGTGCATGTGCTGCTCCTGCTGCCGCAGGCGCTCCTGCTGCTGCTGCACCAGCTGTAGCCGGGCCTGCTGCGCGGACTGCACCTGCTGGGCCTCCCGCAACGCCCGTTCCCCCTCCTCGTACTTCTCTGAGGCCACCTGCGGGGAGGTTACCTGGGTAAGCGGGGCGGGCTGGGGGCAGGGTACCACTGGAGCCCCAACCTCACCCCCGAGCTGAGCCACCTGGCACCTGGCTCATCCTCTCCACCTCCTCGGCACGGAGCCGGATTCGCAGGGCGGCCGCGCTGACCCTCTCCTGCTCCAGCCGCAGCTCCTGCCGCTCCCGCTCCAGGGCCTCCCTCTCGGCAGCCAGCTGGTCCTCCTTGCCCCGGAGCTCGCTTGCCCTGATTTTTAGCTCTGCCTGCTCCTGGAGATGGCAAGGCCTTCGCTGCATTCTCCTCTCGGGAGTCACACTGGGCCCTGCTCAGAGTTCAAGGACCCCCTGGCCCGCCCATCCATTGCTATGGCTCCACACGATCCGAGTCTGGGAGGAAACAGTGGGGCAATGGGGTCCGAGGACCAGACGAGCCAAGCCTTGGTGCTGCCCCTCACCCCTGGGCTCAAATACTCTGAAGCCCAGTTTCCTCATCTCTAGCATATCTACGTCATGGGGACATGGTGAGGGCTGAATGAGCGAATGTGTATAAAGCACCTAGAACAGTAAGAAGAAGCTGCTATCCTTGCATGGCCGCTGTGGTTTGAACTCTGCGACTCTGGCGCTGTGCCCTTTGCTAAGCGCACCCATCAGTGGAGGAGCGGACAGCGAGGGCGGGAGGCCAGGCTGGCGGCTCTGAGCCCTACCTTGGCCAGGCTGACCAGGGTGCCCTCCCGCTTGGCGTCCACTTGCAGTGCCCGCTCTGCCTCTCGCTCGGCCCGCTCCTTACTCAGCTTCTGCTGCGCGAAGAACTCGGCCCACTCGGCCGCCAGGCGCCGCTGCTCCTCCCCGCACTTGTGCATGACCGCCTTCTGCTCCTCCAGCAAGGCGCTCTGGGACAAGGGCATCAGGGCGAGGGGTGAGCGCCCTGCGCACGTGGCAGGACCAGCTGCCGAACGCGGTGCGGCGCCACCCACCTTGGCCCGCTCCAGCTCCTCCCGCTCCACGGCGGTCTGCCTGGCCACGACCCTCCTCTGCTCCTCCAACGCACGCTGCGTGGACTCGGCCTTGGACTGCTCCGCGCTCACCCGCCAGCGTTCCTGCGGCAGGGTCAGGGCTGAGGACACGCTCCCCCTCGGCGTGCTGCCTGCGCCTGGGGAGCTGTGCAAAGCCACTGCGTCTTCCACGCTATGCCACAAACACCTCCTTCCTTGAGAGGCACAAAACCAGGGGCGCCCAGGAAGGACCGCCAGGCCCAGCCGCTGGGAGTAACTGCATGACCGCTAATGGCTCAGGAACTGCCGCTGGGCGGGCTGGAGGCAGTAGCGCCCTCACTCTCTGAATCGCCAGTGAGGGCACTCAGCCGCCCATCTGCCATCAATCAAGCAGGCGAAGTGCCAGGGTGGGCGGGACGCTGCAATGCCAGGGGACGCGGGGCACAGACAGCACGAGGCTAGAAGCTTGACTGTGCCTGGGCTGAGGCAGAGGCTTAATGAAGTTACCAAATGAGGGACTGAATAAATGTGGTTCATGATATCAAAACATCTGTATCTCCGTAGTGCTATGTCCACAGGATAGCTATGATGTCATCAGGGGCTATCTGGCTAGTGGGTAAGTTTAACTTTCTTCTTTATTCTTTCTTGTATTGTAATTTTTTTCAGAGAAATGTATCGTGATAACCTAGTACAAAAGGAAGAGAAGGTATTCTTTTTCTAATAGTAGAGCTTTTGCTCTCATATATCAAAGCTACGTAGGGAGGTCAGGATGTATCTGCTACAGCTCAGGAGGCGAGAGCACTTCTCCCAATGTCATAGGCATCAGCTGTCGTGAC